GAGGCTCAAATTTACATCCTGTTCAGCCCACAAGTGMTCTGTATTCAACAAACTGCACATTCCTTTGTTTATAATAAAGTTAAAAAACATTGTATCTGACTGTTGAGTGTTCTTTTTTTAACAAAAGCTTTATTGTAAACAAGAACAAAACATGGAGCCTGGTGAAATGATGCATATAAAATGAAATGTTAGATAAAATGACTATAATAAAATGTAAATTAAAATAGGCAAAGTTAAAATGAAATCAGGACAATAACAAATCGTAGTTTAGTCAAGAAATAAATTGAGTTCATACTGAACAAATTTAATCTGCAAGCCTAAAAAAACTTTTTTTTCTTTAAAAATAGCTTCTGGATGACACCTGGATGTTTATTAAATGTAAATGTTGCTTATACTCCTCACCTTCTCAGTCCCACCTTTTCTTTTTGATTTTACAGTTATTATTTCTTTCACATAAGGGCTACTGTTATATTTACTGCTATAATGTGGGAGGGGGATCTGGGGTTCCCCCCCAGAAAATGTTGAATGAAGTAGGTGCTGTTTCCTGCATTCTGGTGTATTTGCAAGTTGTTAAACATATTTTAAACTTCATAAATAAACACTTTCATAACTATTTTAGAGACAGATTCTACATTTAACTCAATATATGAATCATCCTTTTTGTGTCACATTGGATGTTTGATTCTTTGACCAACTGGTAGGAAGTAGAGTTTTAATGGGTACATTGGTGACTGCGTCGTGGCAGCCAGCCTTTTCTTTAGAGACAGTAGTTTGTCAAGAGAACAAAAAATAAAGTTTCTTCTGTTGCTCCTTTTTTAAAATATATATAGATTAATATATTTTTTTTTATTTTACTGTCACAGCTCTAATGCTCTTTTCTATTGGCTAGGGACTGGCAAAGGGATTTACAGTATTTTAACCTTAGAAATGTTTTTATTAACATCCCATCAGTCAGCAGCAGCAGTATTCATTTCATGTCTGGATGGATGGATATCTACCTGCAGCAGGAAGAGACGTAGCGTAAAGAAGCCTCCTGTCGGTGCTCTGGGACCAGGGAAGAGCTCTTAGCAGCACAATGTAGAAATACGTTCACGGCAGAGTCTCTCAGTCTCAATAACACCAGAAAAAGAGTCGCTAGATTTTCACTTGTTTCTTTTCTGAACTTTCTAAAAGTCTGTATATACAGCGAGAAAGTCGCTAAATCGGCATCGCTGTGTTCCGCAAACCCGCCATCTCTCATGTCAGCGAGCAGTGTGTCGGGTCAATTATGTCATTCTCTGAAGCGGTCAAATTATCGTACATTATGGGATTTTTGGAATTATTGATCTTATATCGTACAGAGGGCAAAATTATCGTACAAATATGTTAATTATCGTACACCTGTCAACACGCAGCTCCGCTCAAATCTAGTTTCCCTTCACTGCTCCGTCTGGGACTTCTCCCACTGAGATGGATTTCGCTGGCAGATTTTTAGCCGGGCCAATCAGAGAAGAGAACGTCAATTTTCTGCGTGTCTCTTGTAGTTTATTTTACCTGGGCCAATCAGAGAACAGAAGGTGGAGTTTTGAATAACGTTGTTGTTCTGCACAGTGTCTGCTAGTTATTTTAGCATACGGCAGTGGAGGAAGTGAATGAAGCCAGTCTGTTGATAAGGCTTCCAAATAAAAATAAATTTGTCTGACAAAACAGCAGCTCTCATTTACAGTCGTCTCGTTCGGCTCGATACTTTTCTCCTCTCAGTAGAGTTGTTTACAGCACACGCGATTTCCGGTTAGCTTCTTAGCTTAGCCTCCTTCACACTACGCATCAAGTCCAGAACCTTGTACGAAGCAAAGTGAAGGACAGGGTCTGGTTTAAACCAGGCTAACATATCCCAGTCCTCGGAAATTTTTCCACGTACCCCCTGTAATATGCTCGCATACCCCAAGGGGTACATATACTCCTGGTTGGCAATCACTGATCTATGTCATGTGTCTAATGTGTTATGATGAGGACCTCTGAAAGGAATACAATTAGAATTTAGCAAAAAAAAGTATTATTAAATTCTATTATAAATAATGTTATAATGGAAATAGAGTACAGAAAAATGTATTGATTAACACTCTGTTTTTGTCACTTTTACGGTGGATTGCATCAACTGTGTTACATTACAGAAGAGAAACGTCACCAAAGTGAAATGTAAATCTGTGGATCTGTGTTTGATTACTCTGGCTGGCTTTCTCAAGGACCAGGATGTGTGACAAAAATTAGAATTTTGGAACTGGGATTGAATTATGGAACTGAAAATGAAAGTAGTCAAACTGAAATTTTAATAAACCAAAATACAGTTTCAAAGCAAATTAATTCAAATTCAAAACTTTAAATTCAGTTTCAAATCATTAAATTCAGTTTTAATTTAGTGAAATTTATTTTCAAACCAATGCATTTTTAGATAATGTTTTTAGATAAAGTGACTTTTAGAATTAATAGTTCAAACTGTTTGGCAACAGATTTTGAGGCAATTACTGAACATTGAAAATGGTCTTTACAGTAAATAGTATTCATGTTTCAATACATTTATAAATGTATTGTTACCACCCTTCTCCAAACACGAGTGGTGATTTTAAAGGCATTTCTAGCTAGATAGTTATTTAAGACATTGCTTGGAGGAGGATAAGAGGGCACCTCATCCCTCATTTAAATTAAATCAGCAAAGAAGAAGCTGCACACTGGATGTTTGTCTACTTTTCACATATTTTAATTTTTTTTTCTTTAAATCCCTTTGCATGTTTTGAAAAATTCACAGTTAATTGTTAAACATTTTTTTAAAACAAATACATAGAGTTAACAGCAAAATGTTACATATGTTAATGGAAATATAAGGTTAGAAAGTAGATTAATTCACATCATTAAGAACGAAAAAAAAAAACAATAATAATGCAGACTTGAGAGTTGTGATTTGTGAAGTGCTTTTGCTAAAACTGAATTTTACCTCAACTTTTTAAATCCATAATGTTTAATATTAGACAGAAGTGAAATTTTAACAGTAAAGAGGAAAAAAGATCAAAGAATATGTTTTAAAAAAGAAAATATTGCAAATTTATAAAACTATGTATGAATACAAAGTTATAAAAATAAAGTCACAAACACAAACTTAAAGCAATTTGAGAAAAAGTTTCAGATTGGTTTCAAGCGTTGAACAGAAACAAAATCAAGTTTGTATTTTTAAGGAGAAACAAACGAATACCTCGACATCAATGAAATCAAATATGATCAGAGTTCAGAAGGCATTTCTTTTGTATGTAGAATTACAGTTTTGTTTGTTATTTAAGCCACCATATTAAAGAATTATTTCAGTTTGTAACTTGTCGACAAATATAAAAACATGTATTTATATTTTTTCACTCTCATTGAAGCTTTCTTGAACAACTCGAGGTAGAAACAAAGACAAAAACTCAAAAATAAACTCTTTATTTTTTTAAATAAAGCTTCAGTGACCTCAAACATTCTCCATTGTTGTTAAAGTTTACATTTATTTTCCCCTGAGCTGGAGGTGATGCACCTACAGTCATCACTTCCTGGTTACTGTGTGAATTTAACACGCAGCAGGAAACAGACACAGTTAATCTCAGCCAGTAAAACTGAAAGAACTTAGACATGAGCAAAGACAGAGATGAAAGCTGCACAGAAACCCTGCAGACAAACTGAAAAAATATCCAAAAATAAAAAAATAAAACTTTAATCACATCTATTAAAGGCTGGTGAGACGATGCACTCACACATAGACAATATAAATCCTCTGGAGAAAAAATAAACAGACTTTAACACTTTCAGACCACAGAGAAAGATTGAAGCTAATCTCTGAGCAACAAAATTTCTCTCTCTCACACAAACACACAAAAAGTATTGCCTTGCTAATGTAAATCCAGTGCAACATTACAATCATTGTCTGTCTGCTAAAGGCACATTGTTGGGAGTTGGATGGGCAGTATGGCAAGAATCTTCTAACACAATTTTTTATAACTATTTATTCATTATTTTTAGAAGTTACAAAACATTTCAACCAAACATTTTTAGAGTCTCATAAAAAAACGCTACATTAAAAACATTTAAAATCACTGAGTGTCAGCTGAATGCTGATTCAGCACTGTTGTTCAACAGTTTGTTTTTGAAATCTGCTGTTTAGTTTGTGCCTTTTTTAGGAGTTCAAATATCAAAACATTCCACTCAGTCAGGAGATGGGTGCTGTGATTTTTGTTTCTTGTCACTTTTATATATATATAT